AATGGGGGGGGGGGGGGGGGGTTGCATCCCTGGGCCCCCCCCCCCCCCCCCTTTCAAATAATCCTGGATCCGCCCCTGATTTTATGCTTATGGACGTTTGTGGGCGCTGTTAAGACAGACCCGCATTAGACCATACTGTAAGGAGGAGAGAGGTTCGGTTGACTACACGGGATGAGCTGAAGCAGGCGATTCTGTCGAGGTGTGAGTTAATCTGAGCCAACAAATTGTAGAAACAAGTTAAAGTCGGTACATGTATCTCGAACAATATATGACATCATCCAGGTTTGTGGCAGCTACCTGAAACAATAACTCTGTGGTTAAATTTTAATGGCATAGAAGGCCTATTACTTTTGGGTGACTCTGCTATTTTTCTATAGTCCATGCTCTGTTGAACGTGACATTTGCTCCCCCCCCCCCAAAAAAAAAAAAAAAAAAAAAAAAGAAAAGAAAAGAACAGACTTGTACCTGTATATGATCAACAGAAGGTACCCAAACGAAAAAAATATCCCTAAATACACTTTTGGTCAAAAAGGTTGTCCCACCTTCAATCCTATGTGTTTTTGTTATAAATGATCACGTAACAGCTGTAAACCTTTTTAAATGTTTTTTTTTTTATTCCATACATCATATTTTATATGACTTAGTGTTAAAAAAAACAAAATACCGGTGAAGATATCCATTTTTATACCATTTATTCAAATAAAGAACATGCACCTCCCTCAAAACTGAGTTTCCACAATGATTTCCATAGAAGTAACAATGGTCACAAAATCGAAAAGACGTCACCGAATGGCGTCAAATTTATACTCAATAAGCATCAGAACGTCCTCTTTATGTTACAAGTCACATGTCTAATAGCGTGTGGGTTTACGGCGTACTGCAATTTTATCTTCTGTACTCGGTGCCGCATGCCTTTAACAAGGTTGACGGATCTGTTTTGTGGGAAATTGTCCCATTCTTCCTGGAAAGCTTGAAGGAGATGTTTCTGATTATTGGCTAGGGGGTTCATTTTTCTCTGTATCGTGCACTCCAAATCATCCTCCATTTGCTCACTAGGCTTGACATTCAAATAAATATTCTTATTCTTTACTTTAAATTCCTTTATTTACCTGCACCACCTAGGGGCTTTGCATATAACAATCATTTGATATTCTTTTGTATTTTTTTTATTTATCTATCTATTTTTTTATTTATTTATTTATTTATTTATTTATTGAGATCACCGCCAGGGTCTTAATTGAACTTTTTTCTTATCCTGGTGAAAACCACACTCGCGGACTCTCGTGGGCCATCGTGAGCGACATAGACGAGTGCCAGGTGAGTGGCTGTGGTGCGGGGTGGTACATTAGTCCAGTAATTGATTATATTTAATATTTATTTATTTGTTAATATTTATTATATATTACCATGGCATGAGGCACGCACCCACCAGTGCTTCTTTTCTGTGTTATACATGTGGACAGGTCATTCAAAAATGGAGAAAATGGCGATTTCTGTGTCATGTTTTTCGTAGTAGTAATATTATAATAGTAATATTAATCTAAAGGTTCCAAAGGACATTGATTTTGCAGTGTAAGTTAATTCCCTCAAACAACCTTTACTTAAACGTCAGTTCGGCATTTTAAGGTGAAAGCGGCAGGATACCAGTACAAATTAAAGGACTGCGAGCTCGAGCTACAGTTACAACCATGCTATCATCAAAACGTTGGTATTTCTCCAGCATGTAACACATGTCACACTACTAAATTAAAGAAAGTCTAATTGATTTAAAATTCAGCAGCTAGATTAGTTAATAAAATAAAATCATAACTTGTAACAAGAAAATGCACCGAGTAACATTGCAGATATTATTCGTCTAGGGAAACTAGAAACTCTTTTATAGAACATTTTTTTTCACTTAACCGCTCTGAAATAGAAAGAAAACGTAACTACTATACTATGGAGACGGGGCCTTTACTGTTCATGTCCGAAAAGAATGGAGTAAACTGCCTTTTTTTGTTAGGGCTAAAGTGATCATGCCAGTTTTAAACTCTCTCTGAAACCTCATCATCAACGTTTTCCGGATAAATGTTTTTTAGGCTGTCCTCGGGTGTTGTTGATTCTGAATTCGTTTAACATTTTTATTTCTTTTAACACCTCCTAGACCATTAGTTCGAGGAAGTTGAAACTTTTGGGATGTGGATGGTCCAGTCATAATTTACATGTATGTGCGCATTGGCCTTGCGTTGTCCTGGGGTGGGATGAGTTGGATTCTTATTTACGTGAAGCGTTTTTCAATGGATTTTATTTTATGCTGTTATTATGAAGATTATTTGCAATAATTAAAAATCAGATCCAGGCAGTCATGAATATCAAGGGAGTGGGGTCCCTGAGGGAGAGCGGGGACATACGATTGTGTGCCTGTATTATTACTTTGTTTATGCAGATTATTGACGACAGTCCCCACCTAACATATAACCTTTTTAAATTCAACAAAGCAACACCTGGTTTTTAGTTTGAGAGCAGTTAACTATTTTCATCTAGCTTTTATCCCTCAGCAGTTGATTGCAACTGGTAAATAAACACCGAATAAACTTGTTTTGGGATATTTTTTCACAAAACAAACCCACGTTGTTTAATTCAATTAGGAAAGTAAGATTTGGATGGTAAATCAGTAATAATTTAATAAATGTCCACAAACAGGTAGAGTGTAGGTGCCATTGTTTTCCCTTGTGAAATCGTGGTCATTGCCGCTCTTTTGGTATGACAAAAATTACCGTGATGAGTATTAATAAGAATTTTCTTGTGTTTCTAAGCTAGAAATATATGAAAGAGTAATCCATGTTTTAATTATTGAAATCGGTTATTATAATTGGCCAGGGGTGGTTGACAAGAAAAATGTGTTAAAAGTGCATGAAGGCGGCCAGCATGGGGCTCTTCTCGCCCAAACCCAATATAGAGGTCACACGCATGCTCTTAAAATATCAAGTGCACAGATTGCAAACTATGTTTGATTATTTTAGGGTCCCACATGAAGAAGTTTGTATCAAAGTTTCATTCTCCTGGAGTCATGAATAATAAAAAATAATTTATCGTCTAGCCCCAAAAAAGGAACATAGGCCTACGTTACTGTCACAAATGCAAAACGTCCAGCTGTGAGGCGTTTTACCTACTTTGAAAATTCGGTTGAATCACTGGTTTTATTCTTTGATTTATCTCCTACAAGCATAACGTTGTAAAAAATTATGACAATCTTCTGTTTAGAGCAGTTTATTGTTTTTGGGCGACTTTAGTTTGCTTGTCACTGAATATTAAAAAAGGGGAAAATACACTCTACCGACAATAAAGCAAGCATTAAATAAACTATTTTCCATTCGTTGTCCAAATATTGTATCAGATATGTCAAACTATCATGGAATCACAAAATATATTTTCAGTCAGCAATAGAAAGCCCTGTTTCCTATTGCACCAAATACTTGGGTAAGATGAAACTTTCTGACAATTTTATCTGGGGAACATACGTTACTTAATTAGTATTAGTCATGACGCAAATCCTCTTGAGTTACAGTTTAAATATTTATAAAAACGTCCTTACATCATGTATAATTTACCATTTATCGGGGGGGGGGGGGGCGTGAGCAGGCCCCGAACCGACGCTGAGGGGGTGATTTCGGGCCCCCTTCAAATAATCCTGGATCCGCCCCTGTATGCGTTACCATTTAGGACTGGGTTCCCACAGATTTAGATCGATCCATCTGGATCGACCTAACTCCCTGGGGGTTCACGCTAAATTGCTGTCAGACGAGCACACGAAAGTTAATTACCCCTTTACAGCTTTTAGTAGGCGGGACAGACATTTAAGCCGGCTAAACTGACAGCAATCTAGTGAGACTCCACACGGAGATAGATCGATCTAAAATCTATGGGAATGCAGTCTTATGCTCTTTACATAATGTAAAGGCATGGTAAAAATTAAAAATTAAATTAAAATTGAAACAGTCGTGGATTTTTGTTCTATACACATAATTGTTTTATAAAATTGAATCCATACAACTTTGAATTCATTCAATTTTATTTCTTGGACACTTCGGCATGTGAAATGCACTTATTGGTTTTAGGTATTCTAGGCCTACGTGACACAGATAAATGGCCAAATCATATTTTTTTTTCAAAGGTGGTAGGGGCCTAAGTAGGCTATAATCTTTTAGCCCGGAATCTACTGAAGCAGGCCCATAATATTTTGGTAAATTTCACATGGCTAAATTATATACCCGGCAGCTGCCTTAATTTACAAAAAACACAACGAATTACCGGTAGGCCTGCAAGTGTCTACAGTAGGATGGGTACTGCGCAAGCCCGGCAAGTGGCCCTCATGTGCCCTAAAGTTACCATTTTAAACGCCTGAGACGCTATTTTTAAATCAACAAAGTCTGCCGTTGTGCAGTCATAGAGAGCCTAGTGTAATATGCCTTCTTGAGGTATGCGAAATTTCAAATAAAATTTATACAGCAATCCACTAACTGAGCAGAACTAGAAAAGTGTAATTTCTTAGCCAGAATGGTTCCTGCGATGATATTCATATATCATTATTTATATTTTTATCAATTTTTTATAATCCATGTGTGAGCTCACTGCGTACGATCGTACAGGTAGATCATACGCCCCTGCAGTGCTTTATTTATGAGTCTCCGAAACTTATTTCTAATTCGTTATCGCGATTGCGACAGGTGGCCTGCAAGCACATGTAAATCACCCGTGACAACATCTACGTCATCTCTTGCCCCCGATGAACTTAGTGTAAATTTCCAATTCGATGGCTGCAATAGTAGTGTATGACGGCCACCAATTCCGTCTGGTGTTTTAATACTGGATAATTCGTATCCCAAGTAAATCTGGAATACGGATCGGATGGATGTTTCTGAAAGAATGGAGAAAAATATATGAGAAGACAAAAGCAGCATAAGGAGAAAACATTAATCCAACTGGATAAAAGTATTCAAGGTCGATAGTCCAAGATGGAGGGTCCTGAAATTGACCCAAATTTCGAGCCTATATCGAGGGTGCGATCTAATACTTGGCCCTTGCGACCTCAGGAATTTACGACGAAATCTGAGCCTACTCCACCATCGGAAGAGGACAGAATCGATGAACAGCCCGGTGAAGAGGAAGCAGAGATAGAAACGATCGAAGAAGATAAAATCCCTAAAGACCCGCTTGGCCTTAGTGGAGGGAAGAAAACTGGTTCTAGGCGCAATGCGTGGGGGAACCTTTCATACGCTGACTTGATTACTAAAGCTATACAGAGTTCACCAGAACAGAGGCTTACGCTGTCTCAAATCTATGACTGGATGGTACAAAATGTTCCATATTTCAAAGATAAGGGTGACAGTAACAGCTCAGCTGGATGGAAGGTAAGAGTGCAATATGGTGAAAATATGTCAACATTGGATGACCTAGTTTTTATATATGCTACCGTTTGCTTCATATTATAATTTTGGTATCTTAAAATATGCAACAGATTAACAGAGTTCAGGGGTCTGTGCTGATTTTTATCCTTGTTGTGGCTGCATGATGTGCAGAACAGCAGCATTTTTTAATCTATGGTGTGTTCATCTCGTGCTCAACATGTCAAATCAAGTGTAAAGCGAAGCCCTACTGATGTTTTTTTTTTGGCCATGCTCTAAAGTAATGTATGATAGGTATAGATCACTGTAAAATGACATTCAGCCCTGGTGCAGTGGCTCTCATGTCTTTCTCACCTGCTCAGATTTTACACTGCAGTGCTGAAAACCCAGCCAATTTTATCATCTATAGGGCAGTCTGTGCTCACTCTAGTCATTATTTTTGATTAGCAAAAGTTGCTAAAGGGTACAAATTTCTATTAGCATTTTCTTATTTCAATTAGCAAAATTTGAAAGTTGAAAAATACCACCAATCAGTTTTTATGCTAACATACATGAAGGAAGACACTGGACAGCATTAAAACACAAAAATTATAAAACAGACTAAATGTGTAAGTTAATGTAAATAATATTTTAAGAAAAGCTTATGCATGCCTTAACAATATTAGGTAGAAACCAAGATCCAAGTTTATGCTGTTGTACCCAACAGGTCTTAATAACAGTCAAAGAAAGACAGAGTTCATATGTCACTTTATTACCAGGTTACATCAGCATATGCATTATATAATTATTAAACAAAAACAACAATTTAAAACCAACATTTTGCACTTTTTCATTTCAACATATTGCAAGTAATCTGAAAAAAGAATACAGAAAATGTACAGAGCTTCAGGGTGATGGGAGTTAAATGTCACATCTTGAAGATGCCAGTGTTTGAAAAGTAAAATATGATAATAAATAAAAGGATAACAACAAAAATATTCCAATACAGCTGCATTCAAACTTTAAATCTAGCTGTATTAACATGATATGGATAATCCCATTGAGTTGGAGGATAATAAGGCACTGTAATTCATCTATAGCATAAATGTTGACATTACACAAAAATCCCGTTAGTCCCGTTAGTCATATGGATATGGAATGATTATTATACATACATTTATTTGTTTATTATTTTCTTAATCGTTTTAATTTCATTTTCACACCTAGAAGGCTAGAATGTACATCACACGACTCGGAGCACCGTCTCTAAATTGTTGCCTCGTTTTCAATTAGTATCTGCACTCCGAAACGGAGGCATCTATATATTCACTTTCACTTGGACGTTGGCAACGATGTAAACAACGATGTAAGCGTGGTGACTTCTATTTTTAAATGCAAAACCAAAGCAAACGCATTGAAAGGTGATTAACATTTTATTGTATTAACAGTTTCGCAAAATTTGCAAATGAGTAACATTTTCTTTTCGCATTTCTGAAATGCAATTCGCTATAGCGAACTTTGCGAGCGTCTAGCGTGAGCCTAGGCAGTGAAAGACATAGCATAAATTCAAATGTTAGCATCCTTATGTACAGTTTTTGATATGTACTGGCTGTACTAAAAATCTTGACCAGCTGGCATGTTCATCTTGATGCAGGAGCTTTCAAATTTTTAGGGCCGTTCACTGTAGAAAGTTAACCTTGGTCGAGTTAACTCCGATTTAATCGCGGTCAACAAGACCAAGATCATTTGTGATCACACTGATACCGACAGCGATCAGTAGCGATAGAATTTCAGCAATTGTACCTCCTGTTGAGCATGCGCTCTATAAATAAAAATCCGACCCTTTATATTTAAATTATTCTTTTTCAGATATGTGAGTTAACTGCATACTGGTGACAAAAGAATAAAATACTTATTCTACATGTAGGCATGGTGATACAGATAACTTAGGTCTGTTTTGCAGAATGTTTTATTTTTGGCATTTCCTTCTGATTTACCTCACTCTCTGACCATATGGCGAGGAGGGCCTTGATGGCATCCTTAGACCATGATACTCCTTTGCTGCTACTCATGATCATAGTACTTGAATGAGTAGAGAAAGATTCACGTTGGTGCCCACCAATTGTAAGGCCTCAGTGAAAGTGAAATTTACAAAAAAAAAAAAAAAAATCACCTTGTCTCAGTCTTTGTTTCCAATGTAGTCGTCACCAGCTTTTCTGTATTGTACTAATTGCCAGGAAGAGGAGGCATGCTAATCTGTTAATCTGATTGCATTCGGCATGGTTCCTTGCAGAGGTTGATGGATCTATGTAGGAAGATACACCCCATTCTCATAGATTAGATCGACCTACATTGGATCGACCTAACTCCCTGGGGGTTCACGCTAAATAGCTGTCAGCCGGGCGGACACGAAAGTTAATTACCCCTTAAAGCTTGTAGTAGGCGGGGACGGACACTTAAGGGGGATTATCTGACAGTAATCTAGTGAGACTCCCCGCGGTGATAGATCGATCTAAAAGTTGTGAGAACAGAGCCATAGTTTCTTTGGGATTGCAGGGCTCTCATTAAATGCAAAATAACTCTTCGTTTTGGCCAAAAATTGGATTTTCCTGGAGTAAACGGCAATTTGCCCGTATTTACCAATGGTCAATGACCCCATTCCTGCATTCAAAGTTAGTCCAAGTTTTTTTTCCTAAACGTTTGGTTTTTTGTTAAAATCTCTTAAATCTCTTCTGGTGACCTTCTTAAAACCGTGGGAAAAGCAGACAACAACAACACTATATATCAATAATATAAGATTCATAAGATATATTCGTCTTATTGCTCAAAATGCATTTATATCTACCATGTGTGCAATTCTGGGCTTTTCATTATCCGACACGCAACTTACGTTTGTGGATTGCATCACGCATTTGGCGCCATATGTTATTTTGGTCTCGAATGAATGCGCGAATCTGCTTGACACCCCAACGTTATTTGCAACGGATGCCTTTTGACAAGTACAGATTTTAGTTTTACTACAATAACAGCCGTTTTAGTGGTAAAATGCAGTAGGATATATTCCCATGCGTTGTTTACCATGTATTTCTTGCAGAATTTTGAATCTCAAAGGAAGAGTTATTATTGCTTTAACTTTTTGCACTCAATTGTTAATGAATTCAACCAGGCCTGATGATTTGGTTTGGTTGCTGTACCAGATTAAAAAAAAGGTAATATGTAATATTGTGCACATCAAAATTTACAAAAAAAACTTTGTTCACTGCTATCACAAACGTTATGGAAAGAAAACTGCTAATTATTTTGTAACTTAAAAGAATGATTGTTAAGATTGACATACAGCTGGAATTTGAAAACCACTTTGATTGAATTATCATTTCATATCTTGAATTTATGGAATTATTATATTATTATTATTTTTTTGTGTGTGTGTGTGAAATTTACAATTTGCTCAATCTATTTTCAAAGTTTAAACTTGAACACTCATGGGCCTGAAGCCTACAGATTTTACTTACATGTTTATTACCTGTTGTACATAATTAAAATATGGTGTTGACTTTGCTGTTAAGCATAATAAATTAATGCATCAGATTCTGCGCATCATTATTTTCTGCTTTTTGTCTGTACATTTGACAGCTTTGCAGCCTTGTTTTTATCCATTTTATGTGTTACATTTCATTATTTATTGTTGAATATCCATGGATAAAAGGCAGATTCCTTTTTGCTTAAATTATGGTTTTTATGAACAATAATAAAGACCCGGGCAGTGGCACAGATACCCAGGGGGTAGGGCCCATGGGGTGAGCTGTTCTTGACAATTTGGCTTAGTGTGATGATATGCAATGGCTACCCATTGACACCATATATATTTGAAATGTTATTTTTGCATATATCTTTCTAAATAATTTGTAAGCAGTTTAATTAATGTCTCCATCACCACCTATGTTTTGTCTGGACAGGCTTCCTGAAAGCCATCAGTTTTTTTGGAGGTTTCGAATAGTTTTAGTTTGTTTTATTCCTACATATAGAACATTAACTTGGGTAAAGCAGTACATTTTCTTAGTATTATGAAGATTATAATTAAAAAACAAAATATTAACCATACAAACAGGGCTCAACATTAGCTTTTTTGGCCACTTGCCTTGGGGGGCAAGTGGCAAAAATTTTCACTTGCCCCAACAGATTCTTACTTGCCCTTCTTTTTAATGGGAATTTCAGGCTTTTGATCAAGGTTAAATGAAATGAATTCAGTTAGGTAACCATTTTTATGTACAGACNTGACCCGATCATGCTGATTTTCGAACTTGACCTGCGTATTATGAATATTCATCAGTTCTGCAAGTTTCAAGTCAAAAGGTAAAATGGTTTTCCACTTATCGTGTTATCGGTAAAAGTGCACGACGGCGACGACGGCGACGACGGCGACGACAGACGCAGATGATGGCTATATGTACAGACACATCTGTGTCTGTACATAAAAACAACCAATATTAAAGTATCTTATGATTATCATACTACTTTTGCTTTTATCACATTTTAAATCACTTAAGGTAAAGGTTTCGACATGTGGCCTGTGGACATGCCTACTCCCTAAAAACACCTGGCATTTCACTCTTACCTGGACATCATATTTCTCTGCCACTTTCAGAGCTGTATCTATGGCAGATGGTGTGGTTCCCCAGTCTTCATGCAACTTCAGTCTGAAATAACACGCAGCATTTTACATAACCTGTGACACTGACACAGTGATTATAGCATGCAAGCAATATGAACAAATATTCCAGATACTATTATCTTGAAGTGGGAATAATGCAAAGAATGGATATTTCTGGTAATGATCACATCACATCAATTAAATATTCTATTTGTCTGAAAATTTTCTTGCTGGGTACAAAATTAACATTTCTTTCAGCCATTAGCAAACCACAGACTGCATAAATTATGACACAGGAAACACTGTAATTTTATTAATAACTTTAGGAGTGCCTTAAAGCTAAAGGGTTTAACCCAGGAGGTATTCATACACAGTAAGGTGCTGAACCCAGGTCTACAGTGCAAAGCTATTTACAATAATAATCCAACATTTCCTACACAAAAATAGCACTAGTGATGTTTTCCTTATAGTTACTTCGCACAAACAGGCAAAGTTGACAAGTTGACTGCCTGTGATATTAAAACGTCTATTAGTAATATGTGAACACAGAGTTATGACATCACCATTTTACCACATACCCTATAGCTCCTGCCCGTATCTGTTCAGCCAGCTCCTCCACATTCTCCTCACTGTTGGAGGTGTTGCCCTTGCCAGTGAAGCCAAAGTTCAGTGGGAAGGCATCTGTGCTCTGGATCATATACCTAGGATAAAATGGAGAGGCTGAACCAAATAAATCAATACTACATGTAGCTAGCAGCCATTATTGGTGATGTAATTCCTACCTATGGCTGACTATTAAATTTTATTTTTAAAAGATGGAAATCCACTTATTATTATAAATGATAGAAAATATCACTTCAGAATTTTGAAAATGTTCATATTTTAGTGTTCATAAAATCAAGTTATGATGATTAATTTCAATAGCACAATATTCTTATTACACAGTTTAAAACAATTATTGACTTTTTCTTACTTTTCTGCTTTTACATCTTTTAATATGAAATGTCCACTATATAGATGTAAATAGAAGTAAACAGATTTTTCCCCAAAATTTCCTATCCTACTGCTATTATAGAAATGCCCTTCAAAAAGTCAATGCCTTCAAGAAATCGCTGCAAACCAGAAGTACATGCTTTTTTTGCTGTTTTTCCCAGCATGTCTAATGAAAACACAAGTAAAATGAAGCATCTGATTCAAGTCTCAAACGCTGCATTCACATGCTTGTCTAAGATATCGATGTGTTCAGTACACTTTGTTTACACTGACAAGTCAAGCTCAGAAATATATGTATTTTAACTTTTTACATTTTGATTTATCTGCAATCTCATTATCTGCATGGTTATTTTCTCAACATTTGCATAGGCTACGAAATACTTCTCATTGGAAAATCACCCAGCAGCTTCTCAAATACAACTGAGTGACATTACAATTTACTTCCGGTTTTTGTTGATATCTTGAAGGCATAAGCGTTATGGTTTGCAGCATATCTAAAGTGTTCTGTTTCAAAATCTATGCAACCCTTTGTATTGAAATTTACAACACATATTGTTTAAATGATATCGCACTTTCTGTTAATTTCTTGAGGGGTGTGTCTAAATGTGCAAATTCTCTCTCTCTCTCTCTCTCTCATTTGCACGCACACATGTAAACACACACACATGTACACACACACACACACACACACACACACACACACACACACACTTACTTGATGTGATTAGGCCCAGGACTACAAGTTGTGGCACATGACCCAGAGGCTGGCCCTGTCCCGCCGCCAAACATGGTGGTCAGTCCTGAGGCTATGGCCTCTCTGGCCAGCTGTGGACATATGAAGTGGACGTGAGCATCCAGGCCACCTGCAGTAAGTATCAGCCCCTCTCCTGCAATAACCTCTGTCCCTACTCCAACCACCATTCCCTACAGAGATAATAACAGATTTTCAAATGTCTCACTTTATTCATTATTTTTCTTAAATACAATAATTATCAAGAAGAATAACAACATTGCTGCTCTGGAATAAACTCTGCATAACATTTTTCTTTTCCCCATTAGGTTTATAGAAAGAAGGCATCATGAAGGGCTGAGAGTTGTTCCAGATAGAACCTTCCAGCCATGTACAGAAGTGGGGTTGAAAAGAGCAGAAATGTTCATTAACACGGCAGAGACGGTTATTCAGTGAAAAGTCTGAAAACATGGCATGGGGTCCAGGAAGCCCTGTGCATCAATCTCAAAAATGGTATTTCTGGCTCCCAAAAAAGATGAAAATCTGCTGATGGTTGGAAAAATCTCATTACTGCTCCAAGGATTACTTTGAAAAGGCAAATTATGTAGTTTGGAATTGAAGTTAATTGTCTGAGACATTAGTCTTGTTACTTTTCGGACACACCTTGTACATATTATTTTATTAGAACTTTGTTGTGTATAAGTAGGTCAGCTTATGACGTCACCATATTGCGAGAGCATGAGTATCTCGAGAGCGTTAGTTTAGACAGACGCTGGAGTATGAACGGATAGGAGACTGTTTTTTGTTTTGGGACTTTTGAAGGAGAATATATATTTTTTTTTTGGAACCTATTTACCACTGAACCGACACTCATATTTTCTGCTGGAACTTGCATCGCAATTACTGTGGGATTTCATCGGACACTTTCACTGAACTTTGAGCCGATTTATCTCCATTCACTCTCCAGTCGACGGATTCACATCGGACTTTCACACAGGACACTTCATGCTTTCAGATAGGTTTATTTGTGTATTAAGAATAGCTTATTGTTATTGTCATTAGTTTATTTAGTTTTAATAAAATATTAAAACTTCTTTAAATCTTTTGTCATTGATTTTTGCTGGCATTGGGTACTCTGACCCGTAACAACTTGATTTTGAGGAAAAACTGTTAAAAGTACCAAACAGAACTTTTTAAAAGGATAAGAATTGTTCACTTTGGTCAAAAAATGAATTTTCCTGGGGTTAACCACAATTTTCCCATACTTAACAATGGTTAATGAATCCATTTCTACATTCAAAGTTAGTCCTTGGTTTTTTCTAAATAGTTTTTTTTTTTTTTGTAATCCATAGAGATCACAAGGTCCAGTGACAAACACAGATTTCAGAATAATTGCTATAACTGCCATTTTTGTGGTAAAATAGAATATTTTATATTTGTATAAGTTGTTTACAATGTATTTATCAAGAAACATAGATCTTTTACGAAGAGTTCTTATCCCTTTAAGTATCAACTACTTACAGGTGTCACTCCATCCATGATATCTGGGTTGCCTGCCTTCCCTATACCAGCTATCATACCACCCTAGAACACAACATTGTACTCACATATATATATATATATATATATATATATATATATATATATATATATATATATATATATATATATATATATATATATATATATATGTGTCAGGGTAAATCAAGTTAATCAGCAATAAAATACAGTGCTAAATTTCCAAAATCATTTGATCGTACTAAAATATTAACATCACGTTCACCTTAATGCCGACATCAGCTTTCACAATCCCCACAATGGCGTCCACAAGGAGTGCGTTGGTAATGACAGTGTCCAGGGCATGATCATTGGTCACCCTGGCCGCCTGACCCATCCCCTCTCTGATCACCTTGCCACCACCAAACTTCAACTCATCCCCATAACTTGTGAAATCTCGCTCAACTTCTACAATTAGGCTAGTGTCCCCTAAGCGAACCTATTAAAAGGTTTTTGAATAAAAGTCAAAATCAAGTATTTAACGCACAAAGCAATCAATAATCCATTTACTGTTTAATTAATATGAAAAAATACATGTTAAAATTAATAGAAACCTGACATTATTATTAATCTTACGACTAATCATCTGAAAATCTGTATGACATATTTTAAATTCCTATTAAAACTTAAAAAAGAGATTTACATAACTTTCATTTAATAAATATCTGTCATTTGAATGATCACTTCATAAAACATAACCGGTTACCTTGTCCCCGCGAGTTGGGCCATATATGGCAGTGTAGAGTTGCCTTGGAATGGAAACTGTGGAACCTTCTGCAGGGGGCACCTTGCTTTTCTTGGCACTTGGCTACAATGAATGGCTTATTTTAATACATGGTATCATCTTAAAGGTCTTATTGAAATGTGCAGAAATGAAACATATCATAAACTTGATGCTTTGTATCATGTATAGAGAACATGAAGAGCAATTAAACCTTTCTTAGCATTTAAGGTGAACTGAAAATAAAAAAGAAAAATAGTACAAAAGCAAATCTCCATTACAAACATAGCTCTTCAACCCATAATAAAGAAACATCTGGAGAATCTGTCCCTATGCTTCTAGCCAATCAGAGTTTGCAGGATGAACACCACTTGTAGCAGAGAAATGGTGACTAATCGAGATGGGAAAAGATGCTGCATTCTTTTTTACACAACTGATCTAGAAAATCTATTTTGATATTTATTTTCTCAACTGCCTTGAGTAAGATATGCCTTGGTGTTCATCTGATAGTACACAGTTTCTGGGGAAATTCTTTTATTTATTTATTTATTTATTTATTTATTTATTTTTTTGGTATATAACTGCCTTATATATCCAAATAAATAGGACGCAAAGGATCACATTTTATTTTCATCTTCACATGAAAACACACCTCCCCTATGAACTGCACAGCTTATATGACAAGCAAGTTTCTTTACCTTTCATATAAGCATTTCTGACTCACCTGATCTACATGATTAAATCCTTGTGAGTGAACTCTCTCCATCACCTCTGGTATGTTCTCTGGCTCCACAAGACCACTACCTAAACCATTACCTCCTCTCACCACCCTGATATAGTGAAAACATACAGTATTACCACACACTAGCTTATTGTTACATATAGCTCCACAGTGCATCTGCGATTTAAATCTGTTGATGGTCAATTTGAAAGCTCACACATGGAGGAAATAATTTTTAATGCATTCAGATTCGCACATCCTACTAGCTGGGTCGGTCCAACTCTGCAGTGGATTCTCGCTCAAGTGCAATCAGTGAAATCAGCTTAATTGTCTGACACACATACTCGAACAGCATGGGTGATTAACTATTGTGTGCTGATGAAGCTGATTCCACTGATTGCACTAAAGCAAGAATCCCTGCAGAGTAAGACTGACCCAGCTAGTATGATGTATGAATCTGAATGGGCCCTTAGTCATGCATGCATTCTTGCTATAAGCAATGTAATGGTTATTTTTTATCAGTACATTTGGGTAATAAACAAAATAATGCTATATAAATTGTTATTTGTTCTTTTCTTGGTTGGACAGGAGCTGTGAACTGGACACCTGAGAGAAGTTTATGCACAACTTGACCCTGGTTTGAGATTAGAATTTCTTCAAGTCCTCCCTGTGAATGAAGCGGTCATCTGTTCACTCAATTCACTCACCTGTTTCCAGCAATTTCTACCAGGCAGACATCTTTACTTTCCCCTGGTTCAAACCTTATGGCAGTGCCAGCTGCAATATTCTGAACAACAAAAAATGAAAATTCAACTTAAACTGTTGTCTTGTAGAAAAGCTCTGTTCTGACAACATGAGCATTAGAATTGCTGTCATTTTTACAACCTAATGGAGTCAGTGCGAGGTGACCACTGAGATAATATTCCATACAGGTTATATGTTCTTACATTATTAACTGAAGGGTTCACTGTTCCAGGTACAATGTTGACCCAAAGGTACAGTGTAACTGTGACAGCAGAAAATGGAGGTACTGCCAATGAAAGGGACTAGCATCATCATTTTCAAGGAAAGAGAGGGGCACCTGTGTACAAAGCATATTCTCAGTATTATATGTATAATTTATTTATCAGCAGGAATGTGTAATAAAGTCTGTATAGGTTTATGTGCTTCTTGATTGGGCCTTACTTTTTGTTGTTAATGCTGCCACACATGCACAGAAATAAATACTATATGTACTACTAGTAACTGACCAGTCTCATCCCGTATGCAGCCTCCCTATCAAAGCGCAGGTACTTGCTGGCCTCCAGAAAGTGGTAATGGCTGCCAATCTGAAAGTATACACACAATGTGACATTTCTATAAGTAGAAGCTGAAAAAATGAAAACTTTGGAAAAATCTAGTTGTGTTTTTGAACCCCTCAACTACCCGAGTGTTATAAACCCTTGTCTTCTCACCTGTATTGGTCTATCACACAAGCTGGTCACGGTCAGCGAGGTCTGTCTGCGGCCAGAGTTAATGACCACAGCCTCACTTTCAGCCAGAACTTCCCCTGGAATCACTGTCATGGGTGCATCAGTCTTTGCATTGACAACCTACAAGATTGTAAACAGTCATTGTCTTATGTCTGGCTGTATATAAGACTGGGCTCCCACAGATTTAGATCGATCCATCTGGATCGACCCAACTCCATAGGGGTTCACGCTAAATTGCTGTCAGCTTCCCGGAGCCAAGCGTGCACGAAAGTTAATTACACCCTTACAGCTTTAAGTAGACGGGACAGACATTTAAGCTGGTTAAGCTGACAGCAATCTAGTGAGACTGCCCAGGAGGATAGATCAATCTAAATATCTGTGGGAATGGTCTCTAAGTTAACAAGGCATGGAGGTTTTACTTTGGAAATAAGCACAGTGAATAAAATCAACTAAAAACAGCCTGCCTCAGTCCAAAAAGAAGCCAACCTAAATGAAATTCCTTCTGTCTTTGTATTTGCCCAGCATCAGGTTCTTATCTTCCTTTAAGGGGCCTGCACACGGTGAGCATTTGGCACGCGCCACTTGCGCTGCGCCGTTTTCTCATCGTGTGCAGGGGTATTTTGGTGAGATTTTTGCCTCTCGCGCGGCTGAGCAAAATATCTCACGAGTTTGAAATTTTTGGTCTCTTGAGGCAAATGTCTCAGCGTGTGCGGGGTGCAAGCGCCAATTGCTCACGCCATGCCAACAATGGGCATGTGCCGGTAGCCCAAAACAAAGAAAAATGGCAGCCTCCAGCAACAAGTACACAAAAATGTTCACAGTTATGGTTAGTCTGATTGATTAACGTGGTCACCATTTGCCATTACTTTCAAAAAAAAAAAATTAATATGTAATGTTTCCTTAATCACATGATCCCACAGTTCGCGGTGCGTCCGATAGGGGCAGGCCGGGAGGCATCTCTGCTGAGCAAAGAGCGCATCGTTTGCGGGGAGCTGAGGAGCGCGAGCATCTGGCGCAGCGCAAGTGGCGCGCGCCAATTGCTCACCATGTACAGGGTGCTTTAGAAACCTAGTTGGTTCATTGGGACCTTATATCCAGGAGTCTGTTCAACTCAATTTAAAGCAACCAAACTAATGTTCAGACAAATCACACCTCATCTTCTTGTGTGGTAAACTTGTCCAGGCTGGGCACTGGTAGAAAGCTGCCGTACAGAGCCAGCTCCAGGTCTCCATCCTGTCTGCAGATTGGGGCATGGATTGTAATCTGAAGAGATAAAAATAAACCATATCACAAACGGTATAATTCCAACCACTGGTGAAGCATAATATTCATTTTACAGTATTAGCACACCACTAGTTACACAAAAATATAATTACTAAGATATTTAAAACAGTAACAAGCAATAATTACAATCAAATTGAACCAAATCAAATGTTTTTTATCGTACCAGTTTAGTTCCATCAGGGAAGGTGGCCTCTACCTGGACCTGGGAGATCATACCTGGTACACCTGGCTGAAGTTGACGAACTCCTGAAATATCATATAAAATCAATGTAAAAGAGGTCTGAAAGTCCAGACCTAAACACATCAACTTAATTTTATATGTTTAAAATAATGTCATTAGCATCATGATTAAATTAAACACTGCTTCCACTTGTATAGAAAAAATATAGAATGCTTGTTCTCTTGTCTTTTTCTAGACTTCTTGTATTTGAAACATTTCACATTTTATTTTCAAAACTGGTTACAAAATGAGGTGCAGTTTTTCCTGCCAGTGCTGGGGTAGGCTCAGGGTCTTGTTAATAATATCCTGCTCTACAGAATTCTACTTACACAGGGCAAAATTTTTGCAACAATTTTGAAGCAGATATTTAAATATAAGCACTAGAAATGCTGTCTGTGAATGGTCCAGACATCTTACATCATAAAATATTGCCTCTTGGTAGACCTGGCCCAGTTTTACCTGTACCATAAATCATTCCTTAGTCAGTCTTCTTTAAATAAATCAATGTCTTCAAATAAATTTAGTGAAGCCTACTGAATATCAAGTGGTCATATTTTCATAAACTTCACTTCAAATCTGCATAATCTTTCAGGTTAACAAAAGTAGCATTTCAATGCATATTTAGGAAATATGTAAAATTAGTTTCTATGTCAGTGATATACTACATACAAGCTTTCAATAAGCTTTCAATTTTATTGCTACATGTACAGGGTAGCTCTAAATATTTTGAAAAGACTGTCAATGTGATTTTCATTTTTTTGGTGATGAAACTTTGTTGCATTAAAACAAAAAGTAAGCATATTTAACAACAAAAGTATCGATTTGATTAGTGAAATTTCTTATGTTTAGATTTCAAATACATATATAACGTGTGGGGCTTTAATTTACACAGTCATACTGAATTATAACACAGTTCTAGGCTTACTGTTTTGAGAACTCTATATAAATCTTACCTTAGTCAAGTTATATTCAAAATGCCTGATAAACTTATTCAGTAACATCTGATATTTTTCTGTGTCCCATGTTCTCAATATTTATCCTTTTTTCATTTAATCAACTTGCCTTTCCCCAACTTCTTGATATTGTTTAGGAAATGACAAGACTTTCATCATCATCATCATCATCATCATCATTTAGAGCCTATAGTGTTCCACTGTTGGACAAAGGCCTCAGCATGCTTTTTCCATTGTTTCCTATTCTGAGCCTCAGATTTCCAGTTTGGCCAAGGTTTCTTCTTCCAAGACTTCCAGTAGTCATCTAATTCATCCCTCCATCGTTTGACCGGCCTTCCTCTTTTTCTTTGTCCATACCTTGGGGTCCATTCTGTAAGCCTGATTGTCCACCTATTGTCCTTCATTCTTTTGACATGTCCTGCCCACCTCCATTTCATGT